AAGGCTGGCTGTTTCTAGTGCCAGGCCTGGGGCCACTTAACGAAACATATGGGGCTCACTGAGACCAGATGCTGCTTGTTTGAGAGCATTTAGGAAAATCTGAAGCAGGACCCCAGACAGGCAAATCCTATGGTAAAGCCACTGGAAACAGCTTTCATGGGCCCAGAAGTTGGGTGGGGCGGGGCCTCAGGGAATCACCAGGGTGGGGCACACAGTGTGAGCCAGGTTGCTAGAGTCTCAGGTATGGTGCCCACCTGCTGGCTCTGTCTGGGGAAGGGCTCACCAAAGGAACAAAGGCCTCCTTCAGGGAGAAAGCTGCCTCTCCAGCCCTCGTCCCCGATGCCAATCAACTCAGTTCTTCCCTGTATGTCTCTGGTGCCTTTCTAGCTTCCTCCCTCACTCTGGAGCCTGGAGGGAGCGGGTCCAAGTAAGTCCATGCACAGACCCTATAAGAGGAGTTGCCTGAGGCTCCCGTAGCCTCAGCCTCCCTCAGCCTCCGTTCCTGCTGGTTTTACAGCCAGAAGTGATGGGGATTCTCTTCGTGGCACTGAAACCCTGAGCTGGGTGCTTGGTGTAGGACGGGGACCCCTAACTCCTCAGGGAGGACCTTCCCAGCCAAGGTATCCTGGTTTTATCTGCCACACGTGGGTGTGGGACTAGCCCGTCTGCGCCTCCGCCCCCTCCTACCACTCTTAATGTGGCTTCTTAATCTTGTGGTTGTAGGACTTCCATTCAGTTCGATGTCAGGCAGTTCTGAATGACCATGGTTCTGTAGTTTAGCTGTAATTTTGATGTGGTTGTGGGAGGAGGCAATACTGCGTTTACCTACGTTGCCACACACAATGAGCCTCCTTGTTTTCACCCAGGATGAACTGCTCCATTGCCCTGCCCTCGGTACACTGCTGCTGAGAGGTGACAGTAGTACCATGAAAGCCTTCACTGATTCCTCTGTCCTTCCACTAAAGCATGGGCCAGTATCCCCCCAGCAAAGCTGACTTTCGGAACAGCAAAGAGAGGCTATTTCTGAAACCCATGTTTATAACACTGTTTCCCTTCCCTAAGTAGAAGTCTTGGCCCTTCTTCCCCTCAGTCGTGGTCTCTAGTCCTTGCTATTTCTTGCCACAGTGGACAGTTTTGAAGCAGGTTACAAAACACCTTGGATAGAGAGCCTGACTTAGTGACAGCCATCCTCCCCAGGAAGAGAAAATGCCACTAGTGCTTTGAGAAAGGCTTTGTGCCTTTCATTTTCCATTTCCATGTGGCACTTGACTGAGACCCCACCAGATGAAAGGTCTTTGGTGTATTTTGACCTAATCTGGGGTTGCAGTGTGTCCTGCCTAACATCATGAGGTCCTGTACGCAGAATGAGGCATGGAGGGTGCATTAGATGACAGGCTCTTATCCAAGCAGGGCAAGAGACACTATGCTGATTTCTGTGACGTGTCGGTGGGAGAGACTTCTCACCCCTGATTTCATTTAATAGTATTAGTTGCTAACATCTTAATTGAATTGGTTACAAATTAGGAAGGCTTGGCCTAGCCCTATAAAATTTTAGTATTTATATTGACATTATGAGGAGGTTTATGCTAATGATTATTATTATAATCTTAGTTAACTGGCAATATACCTTGACACTGATGCTAGAATATGTACACATATACACACACGTGTGCACGCGCGTGCACACACACATACACATACCCTATTCACTGTAGGCTCTTTGTAAGAAAGTTCAAACAACTGTGGTAAAGGAGATAACCATAGCAGAAGAGTTGGACAGAGTGGGGAGGGAAGGTTACTATCATTTGTCAACCTCCAACCATGTGCCACATACTCGGTTTGGGGACACTACATGGTTTAGATCATTTTAACCCTCAGCACATAACCTGTAAAGTAGGTGCTGTTCTTATTCCTGTGTTACTGATGAGGAAGTGAAGTGAGAGAATCAGATTATGGCATTCTCCTGCTGCTTAGAATGCTACAATGATTACCCTTTCCCCAGAGGATAAAAATCCTAACTCCTCATCCCAATCTCCAGGATGCGTTCTGGCATCCTCCCTAGATTCGTCTCAAACCCCCTCCCGCTTGCAGTATATGCTCCAGCTACACTGACCTTTATTCAGTTCCTGTAATGTTCCATATTCTTTTCTGTACTAGGGCCACTGCTTAGGTTATTCTCTCTGCCTGCACTGCTCTCCTCTGTGTCTGCCTGCATTTACCAGTCCTTCCTGTGCGTTCTCCAGGTCTTATCATAACGTCACATCCTCAAGTGTCAGGAAAACTTCCACCGACTGCCCCCTTTGCTCTACGATGTCCTTCAGACTGTGTTAGATCCCTTTGTTGTGTCCTTCTGATGCATTCTGCATTCCGTTCCTACTACTCGTTACATAGTTTTACATGTAACAGTGTGTTCAGGATCTATTTTACTTGTCAGATGAAGCTTCCTATTTACAGACTATCCTATTCTTTGCTCCATCTGTAGCACCTAGTACAGTGCTTGACACATGGTAGATGTTCCATAAATATTTGTTGCATTAATGTTTATTTAAATTATAATTGGTATATAATAGGTACTCAATAAATATAGTTACACTATAAATATAGTTGTTATTATTATTGTCCAAGGACAAATATCTAGTCAAGGGCAGAACCAGGATTTATACCGAGGTCTGAATCCAAAGCCCATGTTTCTTTCACAATATGGCTCTGCCTGCAGATATGAGTTCTAGGCTGAGCACTGCCACAACCTGGCTGTGTGACTTAGGATGAGACATTATATCGCATCTATAAGTTGCGGTACAGATAGGCAAATTTCAGATTGTTCTTTGTGTAACCTAGAGGAGGAGAATAGAAGTTTATATAGGACTGGGTCTAAATAGTTAAGTAACTGACCATTGCAAAATCATTATCATCCCTCTGCAAGACAGTTAAATAGGTATACCAATAACCCTCAATACATTCATGCCCTGTAGCCTGGGTAACCCTCCTCAGGTAGTGTGGACTAATGGGTGGTGTTAAAGAGCCCTGGGTTTAAATCCCAATATCCCCTTTACTACCTCTCTGGTCTTGGACAAGTTAATACCTGAACCTTATTTCCTTCTTTACAATGGGATAATAACATCTATGTTCTTACCTTTTTCTATGGTAAAAACAATATAATAACAAGAAAATAAGTTTTTTTAATGTAGAAAGAAAAAAATTCTCCCATACCCACACAATTCTTTCTGTGTGATTTTGTGCCATGAGGGCTACTTCTTAAGGCAGGAGCCACAGGCAATGTTTAGAAAGGAGAGAAAGACTGAAGACAGAAATAGGCCGAGGTCAGAGACCAGAGTCTAGGGTGAGGAACAAGAGCCCCCTTGGGTGGGCTGGAGCAGAAGAGAAAGCTAGCTCCCGAGGCAGAACAAAGGAGATGCCAAATTGGAGTAATGAATAATGGCTAGGCAGGACCTGACAACGGGAGTAGAAAGCCAGTAGGAAGAAAACAATGGGCCCCCTACAAGCCTCCTTCCAAAAGTTTGTGGCCTTTTCATTTAGGCATGCTTCACATAGTCTTAAAGAGCCTTAAAATTGTACCCCTGCCAGTTCCTTTTCTTGTTTAGTCACATGCATGTATTTTGAAATTGGAATGTTAGGATAAATAGTTTTTCTTTTTTTTCTTTATTGACTTTAGAGAGAGAGGAAGGGAGAGGGAGAGAGAGATGGAAACATCAAGGAGAGAGAATATCGACTGGCTGCCTCCTGCATGCCCCCCACTGGAGATCGGGCCCGCAACCTGGGCATGTGCCCTGACCGGGAATCGAACCAGCGACCTCTTGGTGCATGGGTCGACGCTCAACTACTGAGCCACACCGGCTGGGCAATAGTTTTTCTTTTTTTAAAAATAGTTTTTCTTTATTGATTTTAGAGCGAGAGATAGAAACAGGGAGAGGGAGAGAGAGATGGAAACATCAACCAGCTGCCTCCTGCACGCCCCCCACTGGGGATCAGGCCGACAACCTGGGCATGTGCCCTGACCGGGAATCGAACCAGGGACCTCTTGGTGCATGGGTTGATGCTCAACCAGTGAGACACACTGGCCGGGCGCATAGGTTTTCATTGAGTAGCATATCTTCAATATTTTTCAAGTCACAAGTTTTCATGATGATTCCTTTTAATGGCTGCCAAATATTCCAATTTTGCCCATAATGCAGAAAGCACATTCCTGTGTATTAACTTTTTTGCTTCCTTGAATTGTTTTCTTAGAGTAAATTCCCAGGTGTGGGATTACTGAGTCAGAAGGTATGCAATTGGGATATAACAATCAGAAATGGGTTTTATTTTTTAAGAAAAGAAATGAGCTACAGTTCTTTTTGTCATGCTCTTCTGGAACTGATGAGTGGACCTTATCAAGCTGTGCTGTTCAATATGAGAGCCATTAACCACATGTAGCTGTTTAAATTTAAAGTTTGATGAATTAAAATCAGATAAAGTTCAAAATTTAGTTCCTCAGTTGCACTGGCCACATTTCAAGTGCTCAGTAACTACATGTGTCGCCCTGGCCGGTTTGGCTCAGTGATTGGAGAGTCAGCCTGTGGACCAGAGAGTCCTGGGTTCGGTTCCTGCTAGGGGCACGTACCAAAAAAAAGAAAAATACATGTCTCTAGTGGCTACCGTGTTGAAAAGTATAGATACAGAACATTTCTATCATTGTAGAAAATTTATTAGACAGTACTGCTCTAGTTTCTCAAGAAGTCATGGTTGACATCTTGGATGGGAACTAAAACCTGTCCCATGTTTGCAAATGCCCCACAAAGTAGCAAAATTATATCCACTTGAGACCCACTGAGCTTTTATCTTAGAACAAAGAATCTCCTAACGTTTTTGGGGTGGCTTCAGGTTGGCTCTTCTTGGAGAGAGGGAAGCTTAGAAAGATTGCCCTGGCTCAAAGCCTAACTCTGTACTCCATTCTTACTTTCCTCCCTCCTTCTGGTCGGTATCCTGGTTTTGGGGAATCGCAGGAATAAGACGCTGCAGATGGAGAAGATCAAGGCTCGTTTGAAGGCTGAGTTTGAGGCCCTTGAATCAGAGGAGAGACACCTGAAAGAATACAAACAGGAAATGGACCTCCTGCTGCAAGAAAAGATGGCCCATGTGGAGGAACTCCGATTGATCCATGCTGACATCAATGTGGTATGTGTCTGGCTGCCTAAAACCTACCTCTGGACCCTTTGAGGAATAGGTAATAGTGATTGTTGTACCCTTTCCTTAAGATGTGATTGTGGTCAACTTGGGGGAGTAGGCTGTGGTAGAGTGGAATAATCCAGTAGTTCTGAGATCCAGCCTGGCTCTATCACTGATTGGCTGTATATCACTGGACAACTCCCTACTTCTTCCTGGGCCTTATTTTCCCTCTGTGTACCATGAGAGGAATTTAGTCACATCTAAGGTCTCTTTCAGCTCTGATGGGCTTATTATTGGAGTCTGGGAGTTAGGAGCTAGCCTTGATGTAAAGCAGAGCAGGCAGTTGACTCTGGGGTCTAGCCTAAAGGGCTCCAACGTTTCTGTAACTAAGCCAAAAAAAAATTATGTCTGCTGGACTGCCAAAGTGGGGCCCCTCTTTAGAGTGTCTTTTTTGGAGATTCTTGGAACATGGTGAATGAACCATGCTAATGTGATTAAGTTCCCGACTTTTTGGAGTTACTCAAGCAGAGGCTGAATCATCATCTATCTGGGCTGCAGTACTGATTCCTTCACCAGAAGAGATATTGGAGGTGTTGACCTGTAAGGTCCTTTCCAACTCTTAGAGCCTATGACAATGAGAAGTCTTTTAAAAAAATTATATTTGAGGGAGTTTCTATTCTTGGGAAATTCGCTTCTGTGCAATTATTATTTCCTGATTTTTCTGAATGCATTTGAAGAGTATGTAGTTGGGGTTTTTTGTGTCACAAGATCACATGATTCCAGGGTCTCATGAGGAATTGGCAGTTCTGGTGCCAGTGAACCCAAGGATACAGAGCCAATGAAATGAACAAGATATTAGCCACAGGGGCTAAAAATCTAGGCGAGTGGATGTCAAACTTGAATATTCATCAGAGTCACATGTAAGGGTGGTTAAAGCAGGTTGTTGAACTCCACTGTCAAGTTTCTGACTCCGTATGTCCCACATTGTGCTAGAGAATTTGCATTCCTAATGAGTTCCTGGGTCATGCTGCTGCTGCTGATCTGGTAACCACATTTTGAGAACCATTAATTTAGGAGAAAGGCCACTGGCCTGGGAGGCAGAAGCCCTGAATTTTTTTTTTTTTTTTTATCCTGACCCGAGGATATTTTTCCATTTTTTGTACAGATAGAGTGGGAGGGAGAGAGAGGAAGGGAGAGAGAGAGAGAGAGAAACATCGACGTGAAGGGACACATCGAGTGGCTGCCACCCGCACGACCAACCAGGGCCGGGGACAAACTGCAACCGAAGTACGTGCCCTTAGCGGGAACCGAACCCGGGTCTCTCCGGACCGCAGGCCAACGCTCTAACCGCTGAGCAAAACTGGCCAAGCCCTGAATTTTTATCTAGGCTTTTCCCCTAAGAAGTATTTCTCTGAGGAACTTCCTTCTCTCTGAGTCAATTACCTAATCTGTACACCGGCGGTGAGGTATACTAAATGAGCTCTAAAGGCCCTGCCAGCTCAAAAATGCTGTATTTGTATAGTAACTGCCATTTATTGAATCTTTATTCTGTTAGTCCCTGTACTGAGAGCTTTATATAAATTTAATCATTGAATATTCACCAAGATTATATGAGGTAGGCACTAGTATTATTACTATTACACAGATGAAGAAACTGAGACTTGACAAGAGTCATATAGAATACAAATCAGATTGAGGATTCGACCTTATGTTGGTCTGGCTCTGGAGCCTGTGCTGTTATCCACTCACCTACACAGAGTCATCAAGAATCTTGGGGTTTTTCTCTGTGCCTACCTCACTCTGTGTTTCAGATGGAAAATACCATCAAACAGTCTGAGAATGACCTAAACAAGCTACTGGAGTCTACCCGCCGGCTACATGATGAGTATAAGCCACTGAAGGAACATGTGGATGCCCTGCGCATGACTCTGGGCCTGCAGAGGCTCCCTGACCTATGTGAAGAAGAGGAGAAGCTCTCCTTGGAGTAAGCAGCCTTCCCCCTGTCCTCTAGCATACACAACCCCACCCCCACCCCCCACACACGGCTTGGTCTGAAAGTCAGTCCTGGCTCCAGGCCTGCCAGTGGCTGACTCACTGCATGACCTTGGGCATGTTCCTGTGCTGAGCTGTTACAAAAAAAGAAGGATGATTAGACTAGAATTACTAGATGGTTTTTGAAATTATTTGTGCAATATTAACAATACAAGACTATGTTTATTACATTGCATGTGTGTGCACACTCACGTGCCCGTGTGTGTCCAGAAACCTTTGAAAATACAGAAGGCTGAGCTTTCATGGTCTCCAAGGTCTAGCCTGGAACCTCACCTTAAGACCCAGAGGCTCGCCTTGCAGAGAGACAGAGTTCAGTTTAGGAGAAGAAAAAACACTTCTTTAAGGTCGAGCAGGCTGCCTGTAGAAGTGGTCAGTTTCTTATTCCTAGAGGTATGCCAGTAGCGGCCTGAGGTCACAATACAAATACTGCACAGAACATGAGATGAGGATCAGTAAGTGCCCTTTGGGGACTTTGCTAACCCAGGGATTTATTTATTTTCTGGGTCTGTCAGAGCAAGGAGCAAGAGGATTACCTTTCCTGGCAGACAATGGGTCTTGTACCCAGGGAGGAGAACCTTGTGCTGGGGAGGGTGCAGGAACTCTACAGTGAGCCACACCCCAATCTCCTTGGTTCTGTGGCATGGATTATTTAAGAGGGACAAGCTTCTTATTTTCAATGATCCAGCTAATGTCTCTCATCTCCAAAGTTACTTTGAGAAGCAGAAAGCAGAGTGGCAGACGGAGCCTCAGGAGCCCCCCATCCCCGAATCCCTGGCCGCCGCAGCAGCTGCTGCCCAACAACTTCAAGTGGCCAGAAAGCAGGACACCCGGCAGACAGCCACCTTCAGGCAGCAGCCCCCACCCATGAAGGTAAGTAAGCTAGGTAGGAGCTGTGGAAGAAGCAATTTATCCTTTTTTTAATCCTCGCACGAGGATATTTTTCCATTTTTATCTTCAGATAGAGTGAGAGGGAAAGAGAGAGAAACGTCAATGTGAGAGAGTCACATCGATTGGTTGCCTCCCGCACAACCCCGACCAGGGCTGGGGACCCAGCCGCAACCGAGGTACATGCTCTTGACCAGAATCAAACCCGCAACTCCCTGGTCCACGGGCCAACACCATAACTGCTGAGCCAAACCGGCCAGGGTGCAATTTATCCTTAAGCAGCCTTGTGGAAGGCTGGTTTGGGGGTATTGGCTTCACTTGTTTGAGGCTTTTCTAAAGCAGCCGTTGTTTTGGATACAGAAGAAATGGTGTGTGGTGTGTGTGCCGGAGTGGACCTGCTTGTCTTGCCACCTCACACTCCCAGGGGAGTTAGAATGCAGGGAAATTGGCCGGCTCTGCTAAACTACATTTTTTTTAAAAGTTAGAAACGTGACTGGTACAAATATATAGTAAGCATGTATCTTTAATGATGGAGCCTACAGGATTACAAAGCTGGTTCCAAGAGCATTTGAGGAACAGATAATTATATAGTCAGGAAAGGAAAGGAATGCTGAAATAGATTTGCAAGTTAAACACAGAACTGGTTTATGTCCTACCCGGCAAGAAAACTGTAACATTTGTGATTATTTTTCTTCAGAACAGAAATAATCTACATCTCTATTGGACAAAAACCATTTGTAGTTTATCAGCGTAAGTCACAGAGTTTGGGCCCTGATCGATAATAAATAGTAAAAAAAAAAAAGTAAATAGTCAAACAAAGGGCCATCCTCCAAGAGCAGGGGTTAGCAAACTAGAGCCCACAACCGGTCTGAACTGTTTCTTGTTTTTGTAAATAAACTTTTTTTTTTTAATCTACAAGCATGCCTATTGGTGTCTTGTCTATAGATTATTCCGTGTAAAACGGATAGTATTGAGTAGTTACAACTAAGACTGTATGACCTGAAAAGTCTAAAATATTTACTATTTTGATCTTTGCAGAAAATGTTGACTGATACCTAAGAGAATTGATTCTTCAGTGGGCCTGTTAAACCATGCTCCAGTATAATGCTAAATGGATACGCAATTCTCATTTTATCTTATTTCCAAGTTTTGGACGTTATTCCTCAATACCAGTTTTTGACCCTCACTCCCTTATATCTTTTACATCCCTTATATTCAGCACTGATCTCTCTTCGTGGGTCTTACTCACTGATTACTGCTCCTTCCTGTTGGGAAAATCATAATTGTTTTTCTGGAACCCTGGGAATCGAAAGGCTGAACCCCAGCCTAGAAGAATCTGACCACTAACTTTCTTTGTCCTGTGTACTCCACCAGGCCTGCTTGTCATGTCATCAGCAAATTCACCGGAACGCACCTATATGCCCTCTGTGCAAAGCCAAGAGTCGGTCCCGGAACCCCAAAAAGCCAAAACGGAAGCAGGATGAATGAAGAAAGGGAGAACACATAGAGCTCTGCTGCTCATAACCCCTCCCCTTGGCCAGTGATTGACGTCCTGATGTGAAGCAACCCTTCCCCACCTCTACCAAGTCTCCTATTTAATGTGATGGAAGCACAACCCTTCTCTCACTTTGCTGGTATTTCTTTCTGCTCTTGGGGTTTCTGGTTCAGGAAGAGATGTGGTTCAGGTGCTAATAATAGTATGTCTGATAATCCCTTCTTTCCCTCACTTTTCAACCCCTGCTCTTGTTTGGACCTGAGGATAGGGCAGAAGGCCCACATGTGTTTCTTTGTATCTTCTGCCTGAGGGCTGATACCTAAGGGACCTAAGGTCTGAGGGTTGGGGGAGGCCCATATCTTGTTTTGTGTAAAGTGTGCCCCTCCCTGACTTTTGCCTTAGGCTTTGAAAGGACAACAGTCTTCTTCCTGGACTTTTTAATAGGCTTGGTGCATATATCTTCTCTACTCTCATCTTCAAGGCTCAGAGGTAATTTGGACAAGCCCTCTTTTTTTTTTTTTTTTTCCAAATCCTTACCCGAGGATATTTTTCCATTTTTGTTCAGATAGAGTGGGAGGGAGAGAGAGAAAGAGAGAGAAACATCAATGTGAGAGGGACACATCTAGCGGTTGCCTCCCGCTCCACCCACCCAACCAGGGCCAGGATGAATCGCAACTGAGGTACCTGCCCTTGACCGAAATTGAACTCTCGACTCATTGGTCCACGGGCCACGGAGCCAAACTGGCCAGGGCGACAAGCCCTCTTTTTTATATTCATTTTGGAGGTCTGGCTGTTATTACTAAGTACACCATCCCACGCCCCCACTCCCAGTCTCCCAGATATACAAATGTTCTCAGATACCAGGCTGTGTGTCTGGGGTTCCTGAGGTCTGCAGCCTTTCTCCCATAGTCTTGGTTTTTGAAAATCAGTAGGCATTCCCCACAGTGAAAGGAAGATGGAACTATACCCGCTTCACAAGTCCTGCCTAATTCACTGCCAAAGTGATTGGGCTAGGGCTCTACTATAGGGCCTGCCTTAGGCTTAGATGAGCCCCAGGCTGACAACTGTGTTGCCTTTTGTTCAAAACCTTTACTCTTGGCACTTACTCAATTTTATATCTTAAGGGTCATAGGAGGGGCTTGAGATTCAAGTGAATGGCAGTTACTTTACCCATGTGAGTGGGTGGACTTCTCCATTCATCCCTCCTTCTCTTGGGTCTTCCCTCTTCACTAAGGCAGCCTCAGCTCAGGTCAGCTGCTGGCTACCTTCTTTCCTATGGATTGTGCAGGTGGCCTTCCTTCTCCAAAATAAAGGCACCAGGGTCCCCAAGCCGTACAGCTCGACTCCACCAAAGCCAGATCTCTAATAAGGTCACTTAAGGGACAAGGATGGGGGTTGGCTGACTGAAAAAGTTTTAGCTCCAGGTCTCAGTCTCTGGCTAGGGAAGGAGAGAGATTTTTCCTTCCTTCTTTAACTGCAGTTTTAAGTTTCCACAGTGTCTATGTGTTCAAAGTATAAGAGATTCCTCTGTTCTTTGAAAGTAAGAGTGTTATGTCTATACAAATCCTTTTAAATAAACATGTGTTCATTGGAGTAAATGCTGACTTGAGTGCCTATAAGTACCAGGTAATAAAATAGATATAATGACCTTTCCCCTCTGGGTAGCTCTTCTTCACTCTTACTCACTACACCCTACAAACGAGGAAACCAGACACACTACTGCACAGCAATTTATTTTGCTAGGATAATAATTTCCATTCATTCAATACTTATTTTCTGCCAGGTCTCTACACAAGATGCTTTATATAAATTATTGCATTTGGTATTCAGAACAACCTTTTAAGCTAAGTATTCTTATTGTCATTTTCCAAAAAGATAAACTGATGTTCAGAGAGGTTAAATAATTTGTCCATAGTTAACAAGCAGCTAGTAAGAGAAGTTTCAGGATTTAAACCCAGATTTATCTGGTTTCAGTCACCTTTTTTTTTTTTTATCCTCACCCAAGGACATTTTTCCATTTTTTGTTCAGATAGAGTGGGAGGAAGGGAGAGAAACATCGACGTGAAAGGGACACATCGAGTGGCTGCCACCCACACGACCCAACCAGGGCTGGGGACAAACTGCAACCGAGGTACGTGCCCTTAGCAGGAACCGAACCCGGGTTTCTCTGGACCACAGGCCAATGCTCTAACCACTGAGCAAAACCGGCCAGGGCATTTTTTTTTCTACTTTTTGTCCATGATCATTTTTTCTCCCTTTTGGGATGGCATGATGATAGGAGTAGTTGAAGTAACTGTGAACTAGAAATCAGGGACTAGAAATCTAGTGACTGATACAGGAATATAAAGACCTGGTCTCCTGTAGAGATACAGTAAGGAATAACTGAAGGGCCATTCCAGCTTCAGAGCTCCTCGTAGGGAGGACTGAGGTTTCTAGTAAGACCGCATTGCAGTTCACCAGCTCCCTCTGCCCAATCCTGCCTCATTCTTTTCCCTTCTCGTCTACAACTGTGTATTCCAAGGACTCTCTGATTAATATCCTGAACATTAAACTGTCTTAGTACGTCCCAGAAACCTACCAACTGAAAACAACAACAACAACAACAACTTCTCTGTGCCTTAGTTTCCTCATCTGGAAAATGAGGGAAAATAATAGTACCTACTTCTGGGGCTATTGTAAGCAATGTCATACATATAGTAAGCACTCAATATGTATTAATTTTCTTTTTCCCCTTGTGCCTCTGGCACCAGGTAGATTGGATGACCAGTCTAAAGAAATACTATTTATGTTATCTGATATTACTCTATCACCCCAGATTTTGTTCAGCTACAAGCCTGCTTTTGAGGTAGCTCAGGCTCACTCTGGGCAAAGGGAGCACATTCAGCTGTGTGACTTGGAGGGCACTGAATAGGCTCTAGTAGGTTCCTGTAAAGCACAGGTGGGGAACATTATAAAATAATTTACTTCTTTGGATTGTTATGAAGATTAAATGAGCTAATATTTAGAAAGTGCTCATAGAAAGCATATTTGAGTGTTTGATAAACAAAGTTAAGAAATCAAATCTTCCTAGCAACACTTGGTGACATCAATTTAGACATGAGAAAATTGAGGCAGGTACAGCCTAAGGGTCAATCCCATCCACGAACATGGCAACAGTAACTAAGATTCAATTATAACAGGAGGGCTCATTTGCTCCATGCAAGGAACACTCCTGGAGCATCCAACTCAGGTTATCATGGAAAATGTGCTAATGAGCCCCATGCTACTACATAAAACCATCCAACCAAAACTCAGAGACATAGCAGATATACCTAATATACAGAAACAAACACAGAGAGGTAATCAAAATAGGGAGAAAAGGAAACGTTCTAAATGAGAGAAGAAGAAAAACCTCCATAAAAAGAACCAAATGAAATGGAGGCAAACAATCTACCAGATACAGAGTTCAAAGCAATGGTTATTAGGATGCTCAAAGACTTAGGGAAAGAATGGATAAAGTCAGAGAAAACGTCAACAAAGACACAATAAGCTAAAAAGAAAAAAAAAAAAAAAGACATAGAAACCATAAAAAAGAACCAGTCAGAAATGAAGTATACAATATCTGAAATTAAGAATACACTAGAATTAAACAGGTTGGATAAATCAGAGGATCCAATCAGCAATTTGGAAATCAAGGTAGCAGAAAATGCCCACGAAGAGCAGCAAAAAGAAAAAAAAAATTTTAAAAAAATGAGGATCATTTAAGAGACCTCTGGAACAACATCAAGCATAACAGCATCCTCATCACATAAGTACCAAAAAGAGAGGAGAGAGCAAGGAATTAAGAATCTATTTGAAGAAATAATGACTGAAAGCTTCCCACACCTGGTGAAGGCAAAAGACACACAAGTCCAGAAAGTGCAGAGAGTTCCAAATAAGATGAACCCAAAAAGGCTCACGCCAAGTCATATCATAATTATAATGCCGAAGATTAAAGACAAAAAGAGAATTTTAAAAGCACCAAGAGAAAGACAGTTACCTACAAGGGAGCTCCCATAGGACTGCCAACTGATTTTTCAACAGAAACTTTTCAGGCCAGAATGGATTGTCACAATATATTCAGAGTGATGAAAAGCAAGGACCTACAACCAAATATACTCTACTCAGCAAGGCTATCATTTAAAATTAAAAGAGAAATAAAAACCTTCCTAGACAAGAAAAGGCTAAATAAGTTCATCACCACCAAACCAGTATTATAAGAAATGTTAAAGATAATCTTTAAGAAGAAAGAAAAAAAAGAACATAAAAATGAATAATAAAATGGCAATAACTATATACTTATCAGTAATTATTTAAAATGTAAATAGATTAGATGCTTTAATAAAAAGACATAGGGTAGATAAATGGATAAAAAAACAAGACCCATATATGTGTTGTCTACAAGAGACCCACTTCAGATCAAAAGACACACACAGCCCAGCCAGTGTGACTCAGTGGTTGAGCATCGACCCATGCACCAAAAGGTTACCTGTTTGATTCCTGGTCAGGTCACAAGTCCAGGTTGTGGGCCAAATCCCCAGTGGGGGACATGCTGGAGGCAACAAGTCAATGTTCTCTCTCATTGATGTTTCTATCTCTTTCTCCCTCATCCTTCCTCTCTCTCTAAAATCAATTTAAAAAATTTCATTTTATTATTGTTATTTTTTTTAATGTTTTATCTTTATTGATTTTAGAGAGAGAGGAAGGGAGAAAGAAAGAGAGATAAAAACATCAATGAGAGAGAACATCAATTGGCTGCCTCATGCATGCCCCCCACTGGGGATTTGGCCCACAACCTGGGCATGTGCCCTGACCAGGAATCGAACCAGTGACCTCTTGGTGCATGGGTCAACACTCAACCACTGAGCCACACTGGCCGGGTAGAAAAAAATTTTTTTAAATAAATATTTCAAGACACTTGCTGAGTGTTCCATAGATGTGGCTCCCAGTCCTCTGGAGTTAGAAGGCAGTGTGGACTCTAAGGAAGACAGGGAGACAGCTTGGATTATTATGGATGTTGTAATTCTACTTCACTTTCTTTTTTTTTAAATTAAAAATTTTTTTTGTTACAGATGTTTCTCCTTTTTTACCCCATTGGCACCCCCCCCTCCACATCCCCCCCGCCCCATCCCTGGCTTTGTTGCCCATGTCTATTGGTCATGCATACATGCATATAAGTTCTGTGGTTTATCTCTTCCCACCCCCACACCCCATCTTCTGAGGGATGTCAGTCTGTGCCCTACTTCCATGTTTCTAGGTCTACCGTATTCCTCAGACTGTTATGTTCATTATATTCACAAATAAGTGAGATCATGTGGTATTTGTCTTTTTCTGCTGGGCTTATTTCACTTAGGATAATACTTTCCAGGTCCCTCCATGTGGTCTCAAAGGATAAGAGATCTTTCTTTCTTACAGCTGCATAGTACTCTATTGTGTATATGTACCCCAGCTTTTTTATCCATTCATCTACTGATGGACACTTGGGCTGTT